CGGCCTCTACCTGACCTCCAACCTCTTTACTACATTGGGCCCACTAACATTTAGGGTGTATATATATATATATATATATATATATACACACATATATATATATGTATTATGGCGTGCCGTTTAGGAAATAATATATATATTTATGGTTTGTCTGTCTGAATATATGGAATGAAAGTCTGAATATATAGAATGGAAGTCTGAATATATGGAATGGAAGTCTGAATATATGGAATGGAAGTCTGAATATATGGAATGAACCTTGAATATATAGAATGGAAGTCTGAATATATTGAATGGAAGTCTGAATATAGAATGGAAGTCTGAATATATGGAATGAACCTTGAATATATAGAATGGAAGTCTGAATATATGGAATGAACCTTGAATATATGGAATGAACCTTGAATATATAGAATGGAAGTCTGAATATATAGAATGGAAGTCTGAATATATAGAATGAACCTTGAATATATAGAATGGAAGTCTGAATATATAGAATGGAAGTCTGAATATATAGAATGGAAGTCTGAATATATGGAATGAACCTTGAATATATAGAATGGAAGTCTGAATATATAGAACGGAAGTCTGAATATAAGGAATGAACCTTGAATATATAGAATGGAAGTCTGAATATATGGAATGAACCTTGAATATATAGAATGGAAGTCTGAATATATGGAATGAACCTTGAATATATAGAATGGAAGTCTGAATATATAGAATGGAAGTCTGAATATATAGAATGGAAGTCTGAATATATTGAATGGAAGTCTGAATATATTGAATGGAAGTCTGAATATATGGAATGAACCTTGAATATATAGAATGGAAGTCTGAATATATTGAATGGAAGTCTGAATATATTGAATGGAAGTCTGAATATATAGAATGGAAGTCTGAATATATGGAATGAACCTTGAATATATAGAATGGAAGTCTGAATATATGGAATGAACCTTGAATATATGGAATGAACCTTGAATATATAGAATGGAAGTCTGAATATATGGAATGAACCTTGAATATATAGAATGGAAGTCTGAATATATTGAATGGAAGTCTGAATATATGGAATGAACCTTGAATATATAGAATGGAAGTCTGAATATATAGAATGGAAGTCTGAATATATAGAATGGAAGTCTGAATATATGGAATGAACCTTGAATATATAGAATGGAAGTCTGAATATATAGAATGGAAGTCTGAATATATGGAATGAACCTTGAATATATAGAATGGAAGTCTGAATATATGGAATGAACCTTGAATATATAGAATGGAAGTCTGAATATATGGAATGAACCTTGAATATATAGAATGGAAGTCTGAATATATAGAATGGAAGTCTGAATATATGGAATGAACCTTGAATATATGGAATGAACCTTGAATATATAGAATGGAAGTCTGAATATATGGAATGAACCTTGAATATATAGAATGGAAGTCTGAATATATTGAATGGAAGTCTGAATATATTGAATGGAAGTCTGAATATATTGAATGGAAGTCTGAATATATGGAATGAACCTTGAATATATAGAATGGAAGTCTGAATATATTGAATGGAAGTCTGAATATATAGAATGGAAGTCTGAATATATGGAATGAACCTTGAATATATAGAATGGAAGTCTGAATATATAGAATGGAAGTCTGAATATATAGAATGGAAGTCTGAATATATGGAATGAACCTTGAATATATAGAATGGAAGTCTGAATATATAGAATGGAAGTCTGAATATATAGAATGAACCTTGAATATATGGAATGAACCTTGAATATATAGAATGGAAGTCTGAATATATAGAATGGAAGTCTGAATATATAGAATGGAAGTCTGAATATATGGAATGAACCTTGAATATATAGAATGGAAGTCTGAATATATAGAATGGAAGTCTGAATATATGGAATGAACCTTGAATATATAGAATGGAAGTCTGAATATATGGAATGAACCTTGAATATATAGAATGGAAGTCTGAATATATGGAATGAACCTTGAATATATAGAATGGAAGTCTGAATATATAGAATGGAAGTCTGAATATATAGAATGGAAGTCTGAATATATAGAATGGAAGTCTGAATATATAGAATGGAAGTCTGAATATATTGAATGGAAGTCTGAATATATGGAATGAACCTTGAATATATAGAATGGAAGTCTGAATATATTGAATGGAAGTCTGAATATATTGAATGGAAGTCTGAATATATTGAATGGAAGTCTGAATATATAGAATGGAAGTCTGAATATATGGAATGAACCTTGAATATATAGAATGGAAGTCTGAATATATGGAATGAACCTTGAATATATGGAATGAACCTTGAATATATGGAATGGAAGTCTGAATATATGGAATGAACCTTGAATATATAGAATGGAAGTCTGAATATATTGAATGGAAGTCTGAATATATTGAATGGAAGTCTGAATATATTGAATGGAAGTCTGAATATATAGAATGGAAGTCTGAATATATGGAATGAACCTTGAATATATAGAATGGAAGTCTGAATATATTGAATGGAAGTCTGAATATATAGAATGGAAGTCTGAATATATGGAATGAACCTTGAATATATAGAATGGAAGTCTGAATATATAGAATGGAAGTCTGAATATATGGAATGAACCTTGAATATATAGAATGGAAGTCTGAATATATGGAATGAACCTTGAATATATAGAATGGAAGTCTGAATATATGGAATGAACCTTGAATATATAGAATGGAAGTCTGAATATATAGAATGGAAGTCTGAATATATGGAATGAACCTTGAATATATGGAATGAACCTTGAATATATTGAATGGAAGTCTGAATATATTGAATGGAAGTCTGAATATATTGAATGGAAGTCTGAATATATTGAATGGAAGTCTGAATATATGGAATGAACCTTGAATATATAGAATGGAAGTCTGAATATATTGAATGGAAGTCTGAATATATAGAATGGAAGTCTGAATATATGGAATGAACCTTGAATATATAGAATGGAAGTCTGAATATATTGAATGGAAGTCTGAATATATGGAATGAACCTTGAATATATAGAATGGAAGTCTGAATATATAGAATGGAAGTCTGAATATATGGAATGAACCTTGAATATATAGAATGGAAGTCTGAATATATGGAATGAACCTTGAATATATAGAATGGAAGTCTGAATATATAGAATGGAAGTCTGAATATATAGAATGGAAGTCTGAATATATAGAATGGAAGTCTGAATATATTGAATGGAAGTCTGAATATATTGAATGGAAGTCTGAATATATTGAATGGAAGTCTGAATATATGGAATGAACCTTGAATATATAGAATGGAAGTCTGAATATATAGAATGGAAGTCTGAATATATGGAATGAACCTTGAATATATAGAATGGAAGTCTGAATATATAGAATGGAAGTCTGAATATATAGAATGGAAGTCTGAATATATGGAATGAACCTTGAATATATAGAATGGAAGTCTGAATATATAGAATGGAAGTCTGAATATATGGAATGAACCTTGAATATATAGAATGGAAGTCTGAATATATAGAATGGAAGTCTGAATATATAGAATGGAAGTCTGAATATATAGAATGGAAGTCTGAATATATAGAATGGAAGTCTGAATATATTGAATGGAAGTCTGAATATATTGAATGGAAGTCTGAATATATAGAATGGAAGTCTGAATATATAGAATGGAAGTCTGAATATATGGAATGAACCTTGAATATATTGAATGGAAGTCTGTATATTGAATGGAAGTCTGAATATATGGAATGAACCTTGAATATATAGAATGGAAGTCTGAATATATAGAATGGAAGTCTGAATATATAGAATGGAAGTCTGAATATATAGAATGGAAGTCTGAATATATAGAATGGAAGTCTGAATATATTGAATGGAAGTCTGAATATATGGAATGAACCTTGAATATATAGAATGGAAGTCTGAATATATAGAATGGAAGTCTGAATATATTGAATGGAAGTCTGAATATATGGAATGAAATCATCATCTGACATCATTAAGGCACTGGCGCCATCTTGTGTTTTTGATGTGATTAATCCGTATGGATGTAATTGTGACACTATGAGCGAATAAGTAAGAAATCTAGTGTCAGCTATTTGGAGCATTGAAGAGATTACAAACACACTAGCAAATGCATGTACACGCCATAATACTGGGAACCATATCCAGTAGTGCTCCTGATGAAATAATTTATTCTCTTTAATCGTGGAAGACTGAATGCAGGAAACCTCCCAGGCCAGGCAGTTCCCGTTTATCAGGAAAACAAGCCTTCAACCTCACACGTGCCCCCACAACAGCTTAAGTTAGTTCGCATCCGAACTAATCTTTTAAAAACCAAAGTCACAGAAAAAATAACCTGGCAGCGGTAACGCTTGTCAGTGGAGTTCGGTGGCTTTGAAGAGAGCAATATAACAGCTATTTCTGGTTAAACACAGGATCTTACTCTTTAAAAAGTTACTGCCTGAGCCCTTTTGGGTGGACATACGAAGATTGTATATAGAGGTTGTTGTGGGGGGCATCTGTGACGTTAAAGGCGTATTTCAGTTTGCCTGATAAACGGGAACTGCCTGAACTGGGAGGGTTCCTGCATTTGGTCTTCCACGATAATAGAGAATACATTTCTAGATCAGGAGAATGGTACTGGATGTGGTTTCCAATATTTTGGCTCATACATGCATTCGCCAGTGTTTTTATAATCTATTCATTGCTCACGTTGGACACTTTCTTGCTGATTCACTAACAGTGTCGCACTTCATATCAATGACGTCAGATTTCATTCCATATATTCAGACTTCCATTCCATATATTCAGACTTTCATTCCATATATTCAGACTGACAAACTTCATATATAGTTATTATATATAAATAAATATATATATATATATATATATATATATATATATGTGTCTGTGCAGTGTAATGAGGATGTATTCTCACCTGTGTTGCCTGGACTCCCTCTTTTTTAACACAGTGTAGTAAGACAGTAAGGTCCTGCAGCTCTTGTTCTTTCTCTTTCAGCTCTGCGTTAGCCTGACACAGACCAAAATAAAACCTCTATTAGTATCATTATCAACTTTACGATCACATTGGGCATCAAACCAGCATAGAGACAAAGGTGTCAATATTTCTGCCTGAGTAGATTCTATTTTTGTCTAAAGAGATGTATTGTTATAACAACACATCACTTTTAGCTAGTTATATCCCAACTTTCTCATTATTTCGCAAAATCAACATATCTTGTTTCAACAAACTTTTTCTCTCCTAAAAAGTAGTTTTTATTGTAGAAATAAACTTCCATATGGTGTTAAAGTAAAGTTAGTAGGTAAAAGGTCGATCACTGCCCGAAGAGAAACTGTAGTCTAGATTAATAATAGCCTATGTGCAATCATTGTGTGTATAATTAGTATCAGTAATTGCTAGTGATCGGGTTACTGCTTGGTACTGGTCAGTGCAGTGTAGCAGATGTTAAATTATCTGACAAAAATGAACATCTCCCCTCCTCCCACCACCACCTCCTGACAGCAGGAGCAATAACCACAAGGCCAGATACAGTAACTGACACTGGGGATGAAAGTGCACTTACATATGCATTTGGTTCAGTGTCTCTTTCTCATCAGCACCAAAGCAGGGTCACAACATTCTCTGTCTAAGACCTGCCTACCCTTCCTGACTACATCCTGTACCTCTTGAGGCTAACCAGTATTCCTATGTTTGTATGTAATTTAGCAAACTGAATGACCTATTCCAGGGTGTACCCATGCTGTCAACCTGGGCTCCAGTCCCCTCCAGCAACCTTGCACATGATAAGTGGTACAGATAATGGATGAAGGTACTGTGATTGGCAGTATCCCAAACAAACCTGAATCATATTTAAACCAGTCGTATTTTTTAAGCCAATGCAGGCTCAAATGTTCTTGTTTTAACAACAGTGACATTTCTAGTTATAACAGAACACCAGCCTATCATGTTAAAGCAAAAAAAAATTGTTTGTTTTGTGAAGAAATTAGCATGTTTTGGGATGTAACAGAGCTTATATAGCTAGGACTCCCTGCTAGTCAGTCAGAACTGAAGAAGCCTCTAGCATGAGAGGCAAAACCTCTTCCAGCATATTTAACCAAGTCCAGTTGCCCTTGATTTAACCTTCCTTGGATACCTATAACCTGGAAGACTGAGAACCTCTGACACAGTGATATGTTTCTATAACAAGAATGGCTTCGTGTTAAAACAAAATTATGTTGTATCTAGTAATATGAACAAATGCTGTATGTCATTATAACATTAAAAGGTCTTGTTATAATGTCAAGAGGGTCTTGTAATAACAAGTTTTCAAGCAAATTTTTTTGTGTTATGGTAGCAATAATACGCTGCAATTTTACAACAGGGTTGAGGATCTTCCCACACAAACAATTGTTGGCTGAGTAAAGACAGAACCACAGCCAAGTTTCATTCTGGCCTACCACCAAATCATTTATAGAATTAACATTAAGTAGCTCACAGCTGATATGACCTGCCTCTGACCTACAGTCAGTCAGCACTGACTATAACTGAGAAGCTGCTACATGAATGTTCTGTACACCAATCTTTGTTAAACATCATCTGAGTTAAGTGAATCTCTGCATTTTCCCAACCTCTGTGTCTGAAGTGAGATTCAGTCATCGGTGTGCCCCAAATCATTTCATATTCACACACTCTCATTATCATTCGGATACTGTATGCAGTGGAATGCTCACAGTGTACAGCCCAGCCCAGCATTATCAAGGAGAGCAGTGCTGCAAAAGCAGGCTGGCATGCACAAAACACCGTAAAGGTCAGTATTAGATTTGAACTGGCTTCATTTTAGCTGACATTGATCCATTAAAATATGCCTGGATGCCACGATACTAATCCTTTGAATCGGTTCAGGACATCTCTAGAGAACAAAAATAACAAATTAACTAAATTAAATTACTTCTTTCTCCTCATTTGGAATGTCTCTGCTTTGCTGTGTTTGTCAGACATGTGCTACCACTGTGAAACATGGGCCATCTTAAGGGCGTTTTGTGAGTGACGGAGAGAACCTGTAGGTGCAGTTCCAAGGTAAGATTTGTGTAAGATCACCATGATCAGAGAAGAAATTATAATGTAGTGTTCTTAATTGCATAATATTTACTTCAGCCACCTAAGAAAAACTATGACTTATGCAATGATTATATTACAATTTTAGGAGAAGATACAACAGCAGGTCCAGCAAAACTGAAATTGTGTTTATAAATTCATCTGAATACATAATCAACCTCTGTTAACATGTCTCCACCTGTTATCTTCACCATCCTCACTTAAATGCATATGCAAACTGCGACTCCACCCAGGTGATATTACTTTGTAGTGCATGTGTCTGAAGCAGGATGTGTCACATTTGCACTGTTTTCTGAAAAACACTTGTGAATCTGGCCCCCAATTCTTATCTTTATAACAGCAGCAGTTTCAAATATATATGAAGGCAATTTGCATTCACAAGTAGAAGAACACCACTATACATGTGCACCAGTAAATCCACATACACTATACAGAGAGGGGTTGTGTTGTATGTATGAGAGGCTGACCTGATCTCTAGCCTGGGTCAGCTCTTGTATTAGCTGTTCATTAGCAAGACAGTGTTCAACCTTCATGTCCTCACAGCGTCTCTGCCACTCCAGTTCCACCTGGATTTGCATCTGTTTTAAGGCCCTCTCTCTCTTCAGACTAGCACTCAGCTGCTGCTTGTACCTGCCAAGACACACAAATATTTTATAAATCATAAGAACAACTCAGGCTAGGTCATATATATTACATACATATTCTTGTCTTAAAAGATACATAAATGTCACAAATTTTTCCCTCCATTGTTTTTGGTTTATCTTTTATCACCTTCTAATGTCTTCACTGTAACCTGTATGTTCTCTTGAGATTAAAGAAGACTCCTTTTGATATCAGTGTGTTTTTACCTGTCTCCTAATCTGTTTTTTCTTCATTTATCACTATTGACTAAGATGTTTCTGCTGTCTTCTCACCTCTCCATCTCCTCCCTGCACCTCTCCAACTCGGTCCTAAGTTTGGTTTCGCTCTCCCGCAGGGTGATTATCTCTGTGTCCTTGAAAACCATCTCACTAGAGACCTGACTGATGTATCTGTCCCAGCCTGTCCGGGTTTTATCTAACTCTCTGCGAAGGCTTTGTAAACACACACAGACACACGCACGCTCTCCGGTCAAATGCTTACATCGTGTCTGTAATGAGCAGTCACATACAGTATACACACCACATATGAAATATGCACAGAAACAGATATCAGGTTTGTTAATGTCAATCTAATTAACTTTGCTTTTGTCTTGTCCGTCATACCTTTGGATCGTCTCATCTTTCTGTTCCATGGCCTCCTGCTGGTCTTCCTCTTTGGAGCGTGTCTGTGCAGCCAGAACTTCCATATTCTCCTGTAGTATGACAATTTGTTTCTCAGCCTTCTGCAGCTGCTCTGTGTGGCCCTGACACTGAGCCTCCAGATGCAAATCATACTCCTTCAGAGCACAGACCACATCCTCATATCTTGACAGAAACAGCCATACAGTTAGACAATAGGAGACATTTAGAAGACTTTTGGTAAGGTCTTTCAGTTTACATTACAAGTGCACAATAATGCCTCTTCTGTAAATAACATAGAAAAGCAACCTGGACACTTAAGGTGCTTACCCATTGCTGGTACCAGCTCCCCTCCCCACACCTCACTTTTGGTGCCCAATCCACTATTTTCCATTGCAAATATAGTACCCTTTAAATATAGCTGGTCATCATAGCAATGCTTGCACGAAACTGCTGGGACACACACCCGTGACCTGCTACGTTTTGTCAGCAACCAAACAAAGGGAACGTCCGCACCTCCTCATTTGACCACAGTGTGGTTTTTCAGGTTGCAAAGTAAAGTACAGAGAATCGCTACAGTTACTATCTCGCAATCTCTGGCTAAACAATTTTAAAATGGAGGGTTTGACACCCAGTCTGGTGCGCGCAGTGATGATTGTAGTAAATAGTGTCGATTCTCTCTGACCAATCAGTAGTCGTCTCAGCTCGCTTGGAACCTCAGTGGAGGCGATACCAAAAAACCACACATCAGGTACCAGGTATTTGCATAATGGAAAACCAAAAAAGGCGAGAAGAGCCGAGGCAAATTGAGCTGGTAGCATCTGGTGGAAAAGGGTACTTTTCTGGAAACTACAGATGCAACACACATGTTCAAGGATTTATTTGTGACATACTCATATTTCTCAACATGTCCAGTGAAAGGCAGGGTGGCATACTTAGAATTAGAATTCGAATAGACTTTGCTCAGCAACTTTGGCTATATGTCTCAGCCAGTAGGACACCACCTTGTATGACTTTACATGTCGGACACAAGTCAGCGATCAGCACCATGCCTGCCCAAAGCAGCACGAATATATTAAGCCTGTGGTTTCTAATTCAGAAATGACTGTACATTCACTGTGTGGTTGATATCGTGAGCCAGCATTGCCATGAAGCTTGTCATTACTTCCACCAACTCAATGATGTTGTCAGAGCAGGACTGACTATATCGTAGCTGACATCAGCCAGTGCATTCTGCAGCGCAGGCAGAAAGGCAGAATGGACCACATGAGATCACCAGATGCATAAGGCCAGACGAGCAGGAGAGTTTTAGTGTCTCTGGGATTACAACAATTGTTGTTTACCACCCCAGCCCTGCTGGACTCCTCCGCTCCATCCACACAGAAAATATTGAAGGACTCCGATGGTTGAATGCAGTGTGCGAATTATACATGGTTGTCGAGGGAGCTCGTTTTGGGTTTTTTTCACTCTTATCGGGGGGCAGACTTTGATTTTTACTGCTGAATCATTAGTTTGCGAACTGACCTTTCTTTTCTCCATGAGAGGGAAGAATTTTGAAAAGTTGCGTGGCGCTGCAGAAAGCCCCTAGCTGCTGTAGCGCATGGACCATGCTAATATTCATCCAGCCAAACGGAACGATCACAAACCGTTCACAGCGAGTCGGCCGTACTAGCGACACAACCTGTACCGAAGACAGAGCGGGGGGCGGACCAGGACCAGAAGACCATGGAGTAACTGGCCCGCTGCGGACGGTTGGTGATCATTCCCTCCGGCTGGATGAAGTCTGATGCTCCTGAATTTACACATGGATTCATGGTGACAGAGAAATATAGAGAGTAATGGCAATAAAGCATGCTGTCAATATTTTAGCGACTCTGTCGAACTACGACTTCGTATTTATATAAAAACCGGACAAAACTGGACATTACTTGGAGAAAAGAAAGCGTTGAACTACCTGGTGAATCCAGAAAACATGTCTGTAACTTTATTCCAGCTATCATTGTACTTTACTGTGACCAAGTTAGCATAGAATAGCCCTGATCGATCAAAACTCCATTCCGAAAACAAACATTTTAGAAGTTGCTGTCCTGCTGTCTTGCTGACAGACCTGACAAAGCATGAATTCATATGTTTAACAAATCTGCATCATGTTGTAATTATTTCGGCATCAGTTTAATCCGTTTATTGCTCTTTAATCACAGCAAAATGTTTATTTTGGGTTCATACCGCTGTAGTAATGGCAAGTTGTGTTTATTCACATTAACGCGTTAAAATCGCCTTCTCGGTTGTGTCTGAACACTTGGAGCGAATGTACTCACGTGAGGAAAGTGTCACGAGGCGAAAGTTTCCCCTGGCCGTCATGTGCTCCTACAGTACTAGCCTATGCCAGCACCTGGCTCTGACAACCTTACTGAGAGGAGTTTGTGTTATTCATGACTCACTTCTTAATGTGGTCGTCTTCCTGCATCTTCAGTTTGTTCTCCATCCATTTCAGCTCATCCCCAAGCTCCTTTATTCTGACACAGAGGATAGTCACCAAACCACATGCATACATGCATACACACATGCACATAGTAAAGGAGCAAACCTGTAGTCCTTGACAGCAGTGAGGTCTTTGATCTCCTGGTCTTTAAGTTGCAGCTTGGTTTGAATTTTCTGACAGAACTCTTTGGATGCTTTAAGAGCCTCTGTGGCCTGGAGCTGAGCCTGACAGTGAATTTCAGTTTCTTTAGAGAGCAGCTTCACCTGGCCAAGGACACACACCAAATGATGACAACCTGGTATGTATGGACAACATAAATGTCACATCCTGTTTACAGAGAACCACCATTCTTTTACTCTCCGCACCTTCAAATCACAAGACAACTCCACAGCACGCATCTCATCCATTTTCAAGTTGAACTCATACTCCCGCTGTCTGAGCTCACTGTCAAAAGCTGCTGTCATCTCCTGTTGGCCAAAAGAGATTGATTAGAGAGGTTGTGTGTAGAATTTGAACATTGTGAAATATACGCATAGTAACTAATATTAATATATATAATATATATATATATATATATATATATATATATATATATATATATATATATATATATTACACCAGCCTCCACTTTCTATGTAGATTCTGTAGTGCCAATTCTGCTTGTTGTTGCTTGCTGTACAGTGCAAACATCAATTTCAAAAATCAAGAGATCAACGATCTCTACCGTAAACACTGTCCAACCTTTTCCAAGCAAAGGTTAGATAGTGGATGGAGTGGAGGTTGATGGAAACCAAACAGAAGTAGTAACTATCCTCTTTGTGTCAGAAGACAACAGAATTAATATAAAATGCAGTCTTACATTTGAGAAACACTTCACTGCCACAGGCATGACACTAAATTTACATTGCTAATCGGATGAGTGTCAGACAAACAGCAGATTCGCGTGACAGAGCCAACACGAGCCTACGATTCATCCTCTATTTATCACTTGCTGTTAGCAGCTGCTCATTTTACTTGACAGAAAGATATGCACACACACACACACACACACACACACACACACACACACGACAACAGAGCCATCCAATGCAGACACCAGTTAGAGGGCCCTTTGTCCGGGTTCATCCTAAAGGTCTGCTGCTGATCCCTCTTGAATGTCTGGCTACGCTACCAGTTATTTCAGTCTCGCACACTGGATGGCTCTCCATGGTAAAGAGCCAACAGCGAGCAGTTGTAACACAAGACATAGAGCATAATACTGTGTTGAATTACTTTGTGGCATAGCTGTGCATATGTGTCTGTAGCCAAAAGTAGTTAACACTGTGTCATATTAATATACTCTTTATTTTGGGGGGAGCTAGCAAAGGCCATAATATTTTATCCACAACAGTAAACAACATATATCAACATCATGGCAAATTTTATATAAAGACATCAGACAAAAAGAGTTTCAGACCTTTAAAGGGATCAGTGTGTGTGGTGTGTGTGTGTGTTCACCTGTCTCTGTAGGGTTAGCACTGCTTCCACCTCTTGTATCATGCACTGCAAATCCGATTTCATCCTCTCGTACTCCTTCTTTTGCTGTTGAATTTCACCAGCCATAGAGCTACCATCCACCCACATAAAGAAAGACACACACACAGTTTCAGTACCATACCATTGACTACTTGCAACAAAAGGCACAGCTGAAGCAATTCCAAGGGTCAAGTGTTTTGGTTGCATTAGTGCATTTTGGATGCGAGATTAACTGTTGTGTTGAGGCGCATGGTGGTAAAGAGAACTGTATGTAGAGTTTGATTTGAGTTTTTCTTTTTTCCAGAGATGCATTTGTTACTTCTAGGCTGGATTATTGCAATTCCTTATTATCAGGCTGCTTCAAAAACGTGTTGCAGCACGTGTTCTGACAGAAACCAGGAAAAGAGATCATCTGTAAAATCCAGAATAAAATTTAAAATCATTCTTCTCACCTACAAAGCTCTTAATGGTCAGGCACCATCTTATCTTAAAGAGCTCATAGTACCTTACTACCCCACCAGAGCACTGCGCTCCCAGAATGCAGGGTTACTTGTGGTTCCTAGAGTCTCCAAAAGTAGACTGGGAGCCAGAGCGTCCAGCTATCAAGCTCCTCTCCTGTGGAACCAGGTTCCAGTTTGGGTTCAGGAGGCAGACACCATCTCCACATTTAAGAGTAGGCTTAAGACTTTCCTCTTTGATAAAGCTTATAGTTAGGGCTGGCTCAGGTGAGTCCTGAACCATCCCTTAGTTATGCTGCTATAGGCCTAGACTGCCGGGAGACCCATAATGCACTGAGCTCCTCTCTCCTCCTCTTTCTCTCCCTCTGTATGCCACTTCATCCCATTAATGCATGTTACTAACTTGACTTCTTCCCTTTCCTGTAGCCTTGTACTTTCTAGTCCCCCTTCTCTCTCCTCCTGTCACTTTCTGCAGGTCTTTCTGGAGAGTACGGTCTAGACCTGCTCTTTTATGACAGCACTATGAGATAACTGTTGTTGTGATTTGGCCCAATACAAATAAAATTGAATTGAAAAAGATAAACGGAGAAAGAAATTGTAAACAAACAAAAAAACTAACATGACTGAGCAGTTTCAAATGTGTTTTTCTTGTCTTAAAACTTGGCCCTCACTTTGTGAATAACATCCACTCTAGCCTTCACATATATAACTCAACTCAAAATGATGTAGTATGCACGTCAAATATCTCATGAACTAAAACTGATTCTGGCAGTTAATCAAATGGTCAAGCCAGTATTACAAAGCCACATGCAGTGATTGTGTTTTTTTGTTATCTATCTAACAGGAACAAATACAAGGTTCTGTGCTAGGACAATTTCTATTCACCTTATGTAATCTTACTTTAGACAATATTATTCGGAAAGATTCCATGAACCTTCTCCATAAAATTCAAAATGGCCAACTTCCTGTTGGGTTTAGGAAATTGCTCAGAGAGGCTTTTTGGTACGTCTGGACATGATACATGTGGCACAGAAATGTTATATATGTAGGTAAAACGTGCCACGGGGGCTGCTTCTTTGAAGGTCACTTCCTTTTGCCAGTAGGTGGCGCTATGACTATGGGTGAATGTTGACATGTAGATGTGTTCAGGGCGGTACTCTTATTAAAGGTGTAAAATTTTGTACAAATCAGAGCATGACAGTCAAGTTACAACAACTTCCTGTGTCATGGCAAAGTGTGGAACTTCGCCACCACGCCACCGCCACACTGTTAACCGAAAACTCACAAGTTTTACAATATGGGATCATCAATGTGTTAAGGGTTTTCTGGGACAAATTCGAAGTTGGCCAACCTGCTAGGAGTAGTTCATCATAGTCAATGGGTTTGGACAGCAAAAATTTGCAGTCGATCGGACAAATTAATTCATTAAATTAGTTAATTTATGATTTACAATACGAAGTGTGTAAATCGCCAAAAATTATCATTAAATCCAAAATGGCCGACTTCCTGTTGGGTGATGGGCATCGCTCCAAGAGACATGATACATGTACCACAGAAATTTCATACATGTAAGTGAAACTTTGACCGGGGCCGCTAGTGAGCTATTTTGACACGCCCATGCACGAGACCCATAAAATGTATATTTTTTGGTCCTGCCTGACGTGTGAGCAAAGTTTCATGAGTTTTTAAGCATGTTTAGGCCGTGAAAATTGGGATTCATTTGCAGAGAAAGAAATTTTAAAAAAGTATTCCTTCAATTCCAATAGGGCCCTCGCATGTTTTACTAGCTCAGATGGCTCCCAGCAGCAACAAACGAACCGATATGTTGTGTGTTCAGCACGAAGGAACTACAAATTTTGTTTGCAGCCTTGTGCTGCATAACAAAACCCAGCAATTCCCACCAAGAACAAGCATCACTATGTTAACACTACTTAAAAGTCTTGAGCAGAGAAATGTGACCATTTTCAAAAGGGGTAAAATAATATATTCTTAAAGGCTTCTAATGGTGGTGACTCACATGGGGATCCTACTCTTTTCACAATGTCTTGCACAAGGTCTGCAGTTGAACCCTACTTGTGTCTGCAGCAGGCTGTGCCTCAAAAATTACTTATGTTGTCATTTTTATGTTTCATTTAAAACAACAAAAGTTCAAAGACTGCATATAACTAAGGCTTTTAGTTGTTATTGTGTGGTGGGGTTCACACTTCTTCAATTCAATTTCTTGGGCTTTATTGCTGTGGGAAACAGACGTTATATTGCTAAAGCGACTCCCACACTTCTTTCACCACCAAAGACTCACTTTACTGGCAATGTTACATTAGCCATTGTTTATAACAGCCATTACACATGGCTGTAATAAACAAGATGTATGGGTTCCAAACCAGAAACAAAACCAGTTGCATGGAACTGATGGCCATGTCTCTGCACATTATGGGAATATCTGGCAAGAAGGCGACGGCGGAATCCATCTCCCATTTAGCGCATTAACTCTTTTTTGCCAAATGCAAAAACCACCTCAAGTGAGCGTAAACTTTTTTGCAAAATTAAGGATTTTTTTTTTCTCAAATTTTACTGTTACATCAAATACTTCAAAATGCGCATAAAAAAACGTTGATGGAAACATGGCTAATGGTAAATTCATAATGTGCAGACACTGACAGCTGTTATTCATTCCTTTGCTTTTTCTGTTTCTTAGGGCAGGTTCACACAAGCCTTATTTAGTCCAGTGGAACCAAACCCTGGAGTGTTTCGTTTGGGTTGGTGTGATCGCCAGACTTGAAATCTGGTGTAGACCAAACACTCTCTGGTATGCCTCAAAGGGGTGGTCTCGGAACGCTGTCAAGTCAACTCCACTCGATTCCTTTCAGATGAACCAATAACAGTAGCATAGCATACTGTGTATGTGTCATTAATCCGTGTATGGTTCGTTCTTTCATTATTTCGTTTAAAAATCGTATCGGAAAAACACAAAAACAAAGTTTTGTTTTTCTGTTTTAAACCCAAAAAGGAAAATGTTGATGATGTTCGATATTTAATGAGTCTGATTTGAGTAGCTTTGTGTGTTATACTTGATAAACCTGCAGCAGATACACTTGGGCGATGGCGGTGCCTGATTAAATAATTAACATGAGCTTGAACATCAACATTAGTGGGTTTTTAGTTAGAAAAACAGGACAACATTATACAGCTGCAGTACCGGAGGCTGCAGCTATGTTCGGGTAATTTTCGTTCAGCCTCTTCAGGTTACACTGTTTTGACCTGAGCTTTATATTCTTTGTGAGCTGGAAGAATTTAGTTGCGCAGCGCTGCGGACATCCTCCAGCTGCAGCAGTACATGGATTACGCGTAAAATCAGGAGCATCAGACTTAATCCAGCCAGCAACCCATAATAGAGTTAACGGAGGGGGAGCAGGGCGCTGGAGTGTATAGGGCGAGGGAGAGGAGATCGCACCCTGGCCGTATAGCCTCGAGATAAAACCCTTGATAAACAGATTCGGAGATTTTATTATATCGCTCAAGTAAGCAGCTGCTTCAGATTAGCCCAAAACAAAATGCTTCCTTGATGCTGACGTAGCCTACTTAAGCTAGAAATTGGATAATTTTGAGTGTTTGAGGCTCTGTAATATACTGCTCACTTCTACAATCATATTCGCCATAGTTGATATGAGATGTGATGCGACCTGAAAAGAAATCCATCCATCCATCCATCCATCCATCCATCGTCAAGGCGGGGTACACCCTGGTCAGGTCGCCAGTCCATCGCAGGGCCACACATAGATGAACAACCACTCATTCTCACACTCACACCTGGTGGTGGGAGGAAGCTGGAGCACCCGGAGAGAACCCATGCAGACATGGGGAGAACATGCAAATTCCACACAGAAAGGCTGAAAAGAAATAGCCTTATATAAAATTTAATATAAAAATATTTAGCCTAATGTTGACTTTTTGTTTCACAGGATACACTGATTCAAAGGTCCTGGCTCCCTTTCACCCCAACCATGTTCTCACTCAGTCTTTTCTTTTAAATAGCTTATCATATCCTACCTGCCTTTACTGTCACAAACTGACACTACAGGGCTTCCCCCACTGCGTTGACCTATGACGCTATAGGGATCCCCAGTGCGTTACAAACACAGATAGGCCTTGACCATGGGTCCATGTGTGACAAGTCGGGGAGTGAGCACGAGTTGTAGGCAGGGTGCAAATTAGGGGGGAGCCAGGGGGAGCTTAGCTCACCTTAATAAGACATCAGCTCCCCTAAAAGCAATATTTGTGATATTTTGGGGAGTCTCTAAAATATTCACAGCATGCTTTATTAATTTCTCCATCATCTGCGATCTCCTGTCCCTGGTCCGCCCACTCCCTCTCCTGTACGGGTTGTGTTGCTATTACGACCGACGCGCTGTGAACAGTTCGTGATTGTTCCCTCTGGCTGGATGAATATTATGCATCATCCATGCACTACTGCAGCTGGGGGCTCTCTGCAGCTCCATGCAACTTTCTAAATTCTTCCCTCTTACAGAAAGGTCAGGTGCAAACACAGCCGCAGCTGTTGTGTGATGTTTAATTGTAGCAAAATGACTATACTACTACATATGATAATAATAATAATTAAAGCTGCAAGCAGCGT